ACTCTTCCTGGAAAATGCCAGAAATTACTTTGAAATAATTCTCCACCTTTTGTTTTGGGAAAAACACTGAATAAACAAACAAAACTCCTACTAATATTGTATTTTCAGAAGCTGAACTTTCCTATGATACTCTGTAGTAACATAATACATTTCTATTTAAAGTGAAGTTATACGTGTCTCATCACATAATTCCCCATTGTTGAGTCAATTCTGATGCACAGCGATCCAATATGACAGAGTCTATGCAGTTTCCAAGTTGTGTCTTTCACCGGAGCAGCAGCTGGGGAGAAGCACCCTCTGACTCTGGTAGCAGTCAAGAGCTTGACCATTACACCACTAGGCCTTCGTTATTTTTACATAGCATGCTATATTCTCAGAGAGCTTTGACGACTCTCATCATTTCTCATGATTTGTGACCACTAAATTCTTTGTCTACTTACTGAATGGAGCTTTCAATGCGGGTGATGGTGAGGAAAGCAGCAAGGTTTGCCGTGTAAGATGAGATGACAATCAAAGCAAAAAGCCACCACGCCCCCATCATCATTCGGGTAGCCAGGGTTGTGTATGGGACTTCCCCACCTGTGGGAATAAGAAAGACATTTTTAAAACTTGAGGAAGTAATTAGTGGATGTGAGTTCAATGTGAATTTAACTTTTAATAAGCAATATTTTCTTCTGTCATACTTTTATCATTGATTTCTTAATTTATGTTAAGAACTTCCTATAAATCTTTTATGAACTTTCAAAGTGAGGCCATGTTCAAAAGAAGTATGATGAATAGTTAATAACAACCTACTTAATTGATAGCCCTTCTCCTTTCTGCTCTACTTTAGAGGAGTCCTGGTAGCGTTATGGGCTCTGAGTCAGGCTGCTAGCCACAGGCCAGCAGGTCAAGTTCACCACTCACTCCATGGAAGAAAGTTGCGGCTTTTTACTCCCTGAAAGACAGCCACTCTTGAAACCCTATGGGGCCATTCTACGGACGTCCTGTAGCATGGCGATGAGTCTGAATCCACTCGATGGCAGTGGGGTTGGCTCTTTAAAGTTTGTGTAGTAATCACATGTATACAGTTTCTTTCCAAGGGCTTCGCTATTCAATAGTTAATTGATATTAATGCTATTCCAAATCCACTCCCTTTGAGTAAATTCCAACTAACAGTGACACTCTAAGACAGAGCAGAATGGCCCCACTGGGATTCCAAGGGTGTAAGTGTGTATGGAAGCACGCTGCCACATCTTCAGTCCACGGAGCTGCTGGTCAATTTACACTGGCAAATTTCTCGTTAGCAGCTGAGCACTTTTAACTACTGTGTT